TTCGAGTTTAGGGTTTCGGGTTTCGGGTTTAGGGTTCAGGGTTCAGGGTTTAGGGTTTATGTTGTGGTAAGGTCATGGGTGCTCGCTGGTGTGTGCACACCCAGGCCACTCGCACTTGTGCGTAGCAGACATCCCACCCCAAGACCACCCTGAGTTCAAACATTTGAGGGTTTAGTTCTGAAGTCTTCTAATTAGGCATCCCTGCGAAAGCGTTGGCATTGCCGACGATGGTCGTTATTTTCAACGGTGCCCAGGTAGGGCCGAAATGGGAAGCATGAATGATAGCCTGCTGGTGAAAAAGATGCCAGGCGTGGCGGATATGGCTAGGGCAACGAAAGGCAATGTGGGCGGCGGATAGATCCAGCGAGAAGGTGCGCCCCAAGCGGAGACAAAGAGCAGTGTCTTATTTCCTGCGGACACGGGGAAAGGCTGTCTGCTTTCTCTGAGGCTGTGCTGGCGACGCTGTCGCAGTCCATGTGGGCTTTGTGTAAGACTGTGGGCGGGTGCCGGAAGAAAGAACGTAATAAGGGCTTTCTGTGAGGCTATGCTGGTGACAATTGCGGCCACTATGGCAGTCACTATGGACCTTGGGTTGCCGGCACTCCATGTAGGCTTTCTGTAAGGCTGACCTGGTGGGTGCCGGAAGAAACTTTGCTTTATGGGCTTTCTGTGAGGCTATGCTGGCGGGAATTATGGCACTATGGACCTTGGACGGGCACTCCATGTAGGCATTCTGAAAGGCTGTCCTGGCGAGTGCTGGAAGAGACAATGTAGTGCGGTAACCCTTGTCAAGAGGGGCCGGGTTGCAACCCTTGTCAAGAGGACCGGCTGCTCGAGTTCGTGAAGGGTCGACGGGGAATGCTGGTAAACCTTCGGGTATCTCCTGTATAACCACTCCTGTCAGTCGCCTAGCTTTACATAGGCTTCCGCGTACGCGTTTCCTGCCTCTCGCGAAGCTCGGGCCGCTTCGGGCTCTGCGGTGGGTTGTCGAGGCCTCAGCGAAGGCTTTTAGGATTTAGAGTATAGGTAGTATGGGTTTATTAAATTTAGGTCAGCCACTCTGCTTTTTGGGTTCGGCGGTTCACTGAAGCCTTACACGTCCCTTCAAAAAGCTAAAAGCCGAAACCCTGAACCCTAAACCCTGAAGCCTCGAGCCTTCAATCCTATACCAGAAACATTCCCAAACCCTAGAAACCGAAAGCCACAAACCCAAAGAGACCGGGCCGAAGCTAATATACCCCCCCCCCCCCCAAGAAGGGGAGGGGTATATTAGGCCAACGGGTCCATGTACATATGAAGTATCAACTTGAGCCCTAGGGTATCTTTATTGAGAGCCCTTTTTGCTTCAGCCCAAAGTACAGACTATATCGTTACATGGACTTTAGAAACCTTTGTACTAATCGCTATACAGCCCCTGTAAAACCCTACCAAGGAACCTTAACAGGAACAGTTGAAGGGGTACACGGACCCAGAGAGTTCCTGAAGCGTATGATTTCGTAGCGAAGGCGGAGGAGAAGCCGGCTTCCGCTTCTCAGGCCGCAATTTGTTCATTTGTATTGCAGTCTTGCTGCACTTGTTAGTATGGATGTTTGTTTGTTGCTAAGATAATACTTTGCTATTGATCTTTGTTATTCGGGCTCATGGCTTTAGGGTTTGAGTCTGGGCTTTAGGGTCTTAGATGTGGCTTGAGAGCGTCGGCTTGTGTGCTTGGGCCTATGGGTCTGGGGTTCTACACGTGTCAAGTGGAACTTTTGCGTTTCATTCTTCAGGGTACCAGCTCCGGGGTATGGTTTGTGGGAGATTAGCGTATATAGTTTAGGGTCTTGGGCACAGCTCTGGGTTTCAGCATATATTGAGGGTTAGACAGCTCCAAAGGCCCTTTAAACCCAGGGATCAGAAGGCCCTGGTGGCGCAGATTGAGGGCTGAGGGTTTAAGGTTTAGGGTTAGATTCCAGGCGTTTCATTCCCGAAACACACTCTTATCGAAGCCTCAAACACCAGCGCCGGAGTCCGACGCCCTTAACCCTATAAGACTCTGAAGGCCTGTATTTTCCTCTCAATGCCCTACCATTCCCCTGACCCATTTCTCATCTTATTTTGTCTTAGCGTTGCTACTATTCCTACGTCTTGTTCCTATGAACAAACTACTGCTAACATTGTTGTTTAGCATCATTCATGTGTATCAATATTTCCAGTGTTTTTACTGCTGTTACAGTTCCTCTAACTGTTGCTATCTACTAAAATTATTGTCTTCGAAGGGAGGCTCTTAGTTTGGGGGTTGGAAAAGTAATAGTGAGTTCCCGTTTATAGTATGCTCTAGTTAGAACCCCGCAAACCATATTATGATTATGAAGGCCCTCATACTAGGCAAGTCCATCAGTCTGTTGGAATGAAGGCTGCTCCTGCCCTCTTCGCGTCCGCGCGCGGAGCCTGGCAAAGCTGTCGGATTGGGTTTGCTGCTTATACCAGAGAGAGAGAGAGAGATTCCAGGTTCATTACAAGATCTTAAAGGGATGGGGTTGTCTGAGTTGTGATTGGCTTGCGTTGTTTTGAGATTTTACACCTTTCAGTTGTTTCGGCCCGTAGGGCATTGGACCCGTTGAGACAGGGCGTCCAAACCTTGCCTAGGGGCCCAGATAGCTGCGTAGTAGGGTTTCCTATAGTTGGGGTACTACCGGGCCGCTTCGAGGGTTCATATCCCGAAGGGTCCTAAGCTACACATATATTTTTTATAGTAGAAAGTAGGGCATCTCTTCTAGGAAGTACCATTCTGATTTGAGTAAGTATCCCCCATATCAATATATGTACTTAGGACCCTTTGAGAACAAGGGTTTTAACGAACGAGATCTCACTTCATGGCTAATTGGGCTGTTCGGGCTAAGTCAGACTTCGCACAGGTTTAGAAAGATCTCGCCTCCAGTCTTTCCGGAAGATCTGTTCAACCTGCAACCGACGCTGAAAGCAACATAACCTGGGGCGTTGCCGACCAAACACCATAGCGATAAGAGTAGAGTTTACCCTAGAACCCCTAGATGTACACCCAAACCAGGGGTTTAGGGTTTAGGGTTCAGGGCTGTTGGTTTAGGGCTTAGGGTGGGGCTGGATCTGTGACCCCAGCTCCCAGGGACGGCGGTGACTATTCCGAGCAGGCGGCCAAGGAGGCGCCTCTTGCGTTTGGGTATTAAAAGCAGGGTTAAGGGTTCATGGTTCAGTATAGGGGTTTAGGCTTTAGGGTTCATGGTTTAATATAGGGGTTTAGGATTCATGGTTTGGGGGTTTAAGTTTAGGGTTTA